ATTGTACATGTATTCAAGTGTAAAAATCTAACACTTTCTGCTGCTATTAAATTTGTAAAACTATTACAAAATTAATTCATGTATATGCACTAATACGGAAAAAAGAATTAAGATTTTCATTAATATGTGCATATTACTTGGAATTCCGCTCATGAGCCGGACACTTTTGGAAAGTGAGGGAATGACATTATGACTTAGAGTGAAAAGGGTGTATTGGACTGAAAGCGATAGATATGAAATGATAAATATGATATATAGATATGGATACATATGAATAGATAGATGTATAAATATAACTAGATAGATATGAATAGAGAGATGTATAGATATGAATATATTGATATCAATACGTAGATGTCTAGATATAAATATATAGATGTCTATACATAGATGTCTAGATATGAATATATAGATGTCTATACATAGATGTCTAGATATGAATATATAGATGTCTATACATAGATGTCTAGATATGAATATATAGATGTCTATACATAGATGTCTAGATATGAATATATAATGTCTATATGAATATATAGATGTCTATACATGATGTATATGAATATATAGTGTCTATACATAGATGTCTAGATATGAATATATAGATGTCTATACATGAATATATAGATGTCTATACATAGATGTCTAGATATGAATATATAGATGTCTATACATAGATGTCTAGATATGAATATATAGATGTCTATACATAGATGTCTAGATATGAATATATAGATGTCTATACATAGATGTCTAGATATGAATATATAGATGTCTATACATAGATGTCTAGATATGAATATATAGATGTCTATACATAGATGTCTAGATGTCTATACATAGATGTCTAGATATGAATATATAGATGTCTATACTTAGATGTATAGATATGACTACATAGATGTCTATGCAAAGATGTATAGATATGAATACATAGATGTCTATGCATAGATGTCTAGATTCGGATAGATAGATGTCTATACATAGATGTATAGATATGGATAGATAAATGATACACCTAGCATGGTTTCTCAAGTCCAGTAGTTGTTATCGCTCTTTCCGGTATTAATGGGGGTTTCCTTTCTGACCTTTTGTTTGAAGTAGTGTGGAATGTCAACATCTTGATTATGTCATTATTTTCTCTTCGAGTTAAATGTGATATCCTCTTTAGCTGTTGCTCCTGTTGAAAGCCTTCAAATGTTGTATTTTGTGTTACCCGATACAGTTTTGTGTGTGTGTGTGATTCTGTAGCGCCAGTCCACATGCTTCGAAAAAGTGTGGTCTTCGTTAAGACCCACAGGCTTCACTAGCTCATGGCAACATTTAACGACTGATCCGAGGAAGCAGTTGTATACAGGTGACAGTTTAGGTACTTCTGGCGCATTTCGTGCCATGTATGTTCAATAACAATGTTGTTGTGTCTCAGGATTGTCTGTCCCTAATCACCATAAAAGCAAATAACAAACAATGTCTGTATAGATAGTTTTCTTTCCACAATCATCTTTCCCCTATCATCCTTTTTACTGTAAGCACTGTTAGCGGGGCTTTCGATGCTCTGATTGCATCCCTTGCAGAGGAGTAAAACCACTTCTAAAAAAAGGCGGCATACCAAGTAAATGCTAACAGACTTAAATATAAACGCACAATATTTACTTAAGACGAGAACAAAGTAAATGTTTGTAGACTCAAATATAGGCTACCAATATTTATCAATCTCCGTAAATGAAATAACACAACAAAGGCAGACACGTTGTAAAACATTCAATCCAACACACTTTTTTGCTGCCGTTGTTTTTGGCTATTTTGGGTCCAATGAAAGAATAATCGAAAAAACCACCATATATAATAAGAAAAAAGCTATTTTTTCGAGAAAGGCATTTATTTGACAAACAGAAAAAAAAGTGTATTTTTTATTCGAGAATAGTGTTGTGAAATCTAATCATACAGCTGTTTATAAATCTTAAGTCCGCTTATAGATCAATACTTCATCACATGGCATCTATCTTCAACTTCATTTGTAGTACTGAGAACTAGTGTCAGTTATAATTAAGGACTGAGTTAAGAGAGATGAAGATAGGATATGACAAGTTGAAGTAGTGGTAGCATTTCAATAGTATTAAGTGTGATGCTTGATTTAACTCCCTTAAAGTTTTTTTTTTTTTTTTTTTTGTAAATCAGCGTGAGAAAGATATCTGTTCACGCACTGCGAAGTTTTGAAAAAATTACATTTAACAAGCTTGCAATTTCTGATATCCTCCATATTCAACCATCTCAATGAAATTATAGAAAATGGAAACAAAAAAGAAACCCTACTTTATATCAGAAAGAGAGAGTTGAAATTACCTCGGGCTCATAATGAGAAATGAGGGCTTGGAAAATTTGATACAGGATAGATTGAAGGCAAGAGGGACAAAGGAAAACAACGCATAACCTACCCCTAGTGAGCTTGAGTAAATAAAGAGGAGAACAGGGTTTGGGGGAGATAACAAGACACAATTTATTAAGAGGTACGAAGGGCAAGAAGTTGTGGGAAACCGTGATCGCCTACGCCCTGAAGAAGAAATACGATTAAGTTTATATCTGTCTTGATATCTTTAAAAAAAAAAAAATACATTCTTAATATTGAACGGAGTTGTTTAAAAAAAAACGTCACATAAACCTGTTGGAACTGCTTAGCAGCTATGTGATATTTGTGAAAAATATTAGAATTATCAAGAAACTATACTGGCAGCCTACCGCCTGCATACTGATAGAAAATCAGTTCAATTGATATGCAAGAATAGAAAGGAATGTAAAACAAGGATGTGTCTTCTCACTGGACTTATTCAACCTATACAGTGAGGCGATTTTGATAGAATTAGACGTCCTACCAAGATTCATTATTGGCGGCAACATGAGATATGCAGATGATACAATGTTGATAGCAGACATGGAAAGGAAACTACAAAAACATCTACAGAATGTAGCGAAGGAAAACGAGAAGAAAGGATTAAACATCAATTGCAAAAAGACAGAATGCATGACTGTCAGCAAAAGAATTCGCCCAAATTACAAATTGGGGTACCAAAATCAAATAAGTACAAAAATTTAAATATCTTAGAAGTACTTTAATCGAGTATGAAAAGGCGACGCTGAAATCCGACAGTGCATTGGGATAGTCAAAAATGCATTCCAAAACAAACTTCAGTAGAGACAAAGAAAGTAGTGATATCTGTCCTCCGATATGGCAGTGAATGCTGGATAATCTTCTCAAAGATGAAGAAGAGACTTGAAACAATAGGAAGGACGCTGAGAATATCATGTGAGCAACGACGAGGTTTTAGAAAAAAAAAGTAAACAAAAAGAAAACATATGCGTAAGATCAGAGAGAAACAGCTGAAATTTCTAGTGCATATAATGAGGAAAGAGGCTTTAGAAAATTTAATACTCACGAGACAGATTGAAGGCAAGAGAGCGGAAAACGATGCCTAACATACATAGTGAGCTTGAGTAAATGGATGACGGGACAAGGTTTAGGAAAAATAACAAAAAGAAAAAATTTACTAAGATCTACGAAGAACAGGAAATTGTGGAGAGCCATGATCACCAACACCCTGAAGGGACACAGTAAATATTGTGAATAGAGCCCATGAAATTCGAACGCGTCATTCTGAGAATTTTAGTAATATATGACGAAAAATGTGACACAGATCCGAAGGCTCATAGAATTAGCGAAAGATGTCTTCCAGGAACTAAGCGAAGCATTAAACTATAGGAAAATTTTGTTAGAAACAAAGAAAAGAGTGCTGAACTGCTACTTTGTGCCTATCCTCCTGTGTGGCAGTGAATGCTGGACAGTTTCCTTAAAGATGAAAGAGACGAGAAGCGACATAGATATGGTTCTACAGAAGGATGCTGAGACTATGAACAAACCACGAGAAAGTTTTAAATAAAATGGTAACTAGAAGGAAACTCGTAATTAGAAAAAAAATCAGTTGAAACTTCTGGAGGCACATTATGAAAAAGAGGGCTTGGAGAATTTGACACTCACAAGAGGAGAAGAAGGGAAACAATGAGTAAATTAGTAGATTGGGTGAAATGGCAGTGCGGGAATAAAGAGTAGCAGGAAGGTCACCCAGTTATGAGCAAATTCACGACACTATCTAGACCCGTGTTTCCCAACGAGTGGGCCCGGACACACTAATACGCTCATTACGCTCACTACTTATTTTTATATTTAAAAAAATCTCTATTTTTAAAAAGCTAGATACAGCAAGCACATGGCTTCCATATCTAAGGGTTTGGGGGGGGGGGGCTTTGGGGGTCTTTGGGGGTTGTTTTTTTGTTTGTTTTTTTTTGTTTTTTGTCATTTGATATTTTAAACTAGATACTAAATTCTAAGGCGGAATGGATAATCCTTCCTCAAGGGATTTAAGTATGTAATTATCAGCCGCGCTAATATTCTCTAGGAATGTTAAACCAAAGTTTCATATTTTCAAATTTAATGACTAATTTTTCATTATTAAAATTTAAAGTACACCCTAGAGTTTTAGTTATTCTACAAGTGAGCAATGAAGTAAAATATGGTTGATAAAAACTGAGCTAGACCATCCCGTTCGCCCTCATGTTACTGATGGCCCACTACATCGTTCTACCACCGGGCTATACCTGAAAATATTGCCTTGTTAAGTCGGAAAAAGCGAAAGAAAAGTAAAGGACGGAAAATTTAGCGAAGTCCACAAAAGTGAAAAGCGCTGATGAAGCAAAAACAAAATGAAACGAAGGATGCTGAGCGAGAGAGAATTAATAACGTTAGGTTTACAGGCGGAAAAATAGCTGCGCCTCTAAATATGGCGTGTAGATAAAGGTCGATGAAGGTGGAGAAAAAGATAGCAAGAGGGTGTCTGAAGAGGGAGGAGTGTGATGAGGCGATGAGAGAACAGCGTGAAGACTGTAACACCGATGGAATGTGCTTGAAAGACATTAAAAGAAATCTCTGTCTTGCTGTAATGAATTTACGATTAGCTCTCGTAATGGCGGCAAGACAAAATGGAGTTTGGATTAATCGTAGCAATAAGGTATTCGTCCCGTTCCAGATGAGTGTCTCTGGCGAAAACGAGGGGACAAGAGGGAAGGGTAAACGGGGGGGAAAAGAACAGATAAAGACAAAATGAGAAGGAGGGAGTGAAAAAAATGTAATCAAGATAGGGAGAAGGAAAGAAGTAAGGGGAGAGGAGGAAGGGGTGGATTGCGTTAAAAAAAAAGAAAAACATCACAGAAAAATAAAAATAAAAACAAGAAGAAAAGTATGAAGAAAAATGGACTGATCTAAGAAAGAAAGAATAAAGTTGTAGAGGATGAAAGTGAAAGACGTTGAAGGTGTAGATGAAAAGATAAAAAAAAAAGCGGGGAGAAAAAAAATGAAGACTAGAATATAAAAAAGAGGGGGAAGACAAAGTAAATGATCAAACGATGAATGAAAATGAAACAAAGAAACAAACAAAATTGAAGCAAAGAAAGAAAGCGTAATAGAAAAAGAAAAAGCTAAGAAAAAGCAAACATAAAAGGAGGATAAAATGAAAGATTAAACCATAAAAACCGTTGAAAGAAAGAAACGTTAAATCATAAAAGAGTGAAAGATGAGTAAAGAAAAGAAACAAGTAGAAAAGCTTAAGGGGAAAGAGTTGCCAAAATAAAAGAAAGAAATTAAGAAAGATTCAACGCTAAAAAGAAAGGCAAAAAGTTACTGAAAAGTGAGAAGGGTAAAAAAAGTGTAGCAAGGAAAAATGAAAGAAAAAATAAGTTGGAAGCAGGTAAAAAGAAAAGAGAAAAGGAAATTGATAGCAAAGAAAAAGAAAGGGAGAAAATTACAAGGAATGAAAAAGAAAGAAAAAAGATTGCAAGGAAAAAGAAGAGAAAAAGAAAAAAAGATTGCAAGGAAAGAGGAGAGAAAAAGAAAAAAAGATTGCAAGGAAAGAGAAGAGAAAAAGAAAAAAGATTGCAAGGAAAGAGAAGAGAAAAAGAAAAAAAGATTGCAAGGAAAGAGAAGAGAAAAAGAAAAAAAGATTGCAAGGAAAGAGAAGAGAAAAAGAAAAAAGATTGCAAGGAAGAAAGAAAAAAAGAAAAAAAAAAAGATTGCAAGGAAAGAGAAGAAAAAAAAAAAAAGATTGCAAGGGAAGAAGAAAAAAAAAAAAAGATTGCAAGGAAAGAGAGAAAAGAAAAAAAAGATTGCAAGGAAAGAGAAGAGAAAAAGAAAAAAGATTGCAAGGAAAGAGAAGAGAAAAAGAAAAAAAGATTGCAAGGAAAAAGAAGAGAAAAAGAAAAAAGATTGCAACATGGAAAATGAAGTACGAAATGAAGAAAATATTAGTAAACAATGAAAAAGAAGGAAAAAAAAAGCAGAACCAATTTACAAGAGTGAGTTGTGGAAATACAAGATATAGTTACTAAGCGTCCAAGATTTTGTTTCACGCGGAACTGGCGTCCGAATTGGTTTCGATCATTTGCGAATCTATTCCACGCGCCAACGCACTGTTCTTATCTTAATATCCGCTGGAAACAAATGAATTGAAGAATAATTCTTAATTATTATTAACTGTCCAATTCTATTAAAGCTGATCACAAAAATGAAGAACAGGAGATATTATAACAAGCAGAAACACCAAGTCAAAATTAGATCCAAATTCAACAAAGAAACTGGAATTGGTTCCAGTCCGATATTGGAGAATATGCAAGTAACAAGTGAACTGTGGAATCGGGGTTCCGAGTTCAAATTCCTGCCTCGTCTGATTTGTTTTTATTTGTATACTGAAGTTCACCAAAGACATGTCTCGTCAAGCACTCAAAGTAGAGGGTCACTGTTAAAATGGCGATGATGAATGAGATGTTTGTTAAGTTCACTTAGGCAAAATTGATCTTGGGGAAATATGTGAACCCTTCACTTCCCTACACCTAGCTAGAAGTTAAATAGTAGAGCAGACTGGGTTCTATAGCGTTGAATGGCAGCCAGTCTCAAAGAAGCACATCTCTGAATTCAAAACAGTGATGTGAAGGAAACCACTTCCTTCTGTCAATTCACTAAATATTGATCACATACAATGCCCAAGAGCCACTGAAGGTAGAGGTTTACGGAATTAGGTTGTATGAACGTAAGAAAAGTAAGAGCAGATGTGTAGGATAGATAACGGTTTACCGTAGACTTGAAAATGTTAAGAGTCTAGTGATCGGGGAAGCATCCTCTTGGGAGTATGTTAAAAAAATAGCAATAACGTTATTTAAGTTAAAATGAAGTCATTTTAGAAATAACTGTCGATAATTAAATTATCAGTTCCTAGGTCTGTGTTCAAGTCCTGATGAAGAAAAAATAGAATTTCAAACAAGCACACGCTTTTGAGAAGTTTTGTGCAACCTAACATTCCTAATTACCGGTGTTTAGTAGGAGCGCCTGCAAATAAATCAATGTGTGGAGATTAGTCGGTGGCAAAAGAACGAATTATTCTTTTTTAATGTTCACCCAATATAAGGCCCAAGACGCACTCAATGTAGAGGGTTACTGTGTGGAGTTTTATTAGCGTCGAAAAAGACAAGGGTTTGGAGTATAGAGCTGAAGTAGCCTTTAAAATGAAGCGGAGACCTAATCCTAAGTAGGAAACAAGCGATAAACCTCTACTCGTGTTCAATAGGCCGGGAAGGAGTGTGAAAGGGACGATAGACGAACGTATCTGCTCCTATTGATGGAGGAAAATAAATAGTGAATAAAAGGCGCAGACGTTAGGAGTTCAGAGCTGGGGTAGACTCTGAAAAGAAGCGGACATTCGATCCTAAAGAGGAAACAAGAGATAAACCTCTCCACCTGTTCAAAAGATAGGCACTCTTCATCGAGGGATAGACACACCTATCTGCTCCTACGAGCGTCGATGGATGTTCTGTCGTTATCCAACTTAGGGTTTTAATTTATTGGGTAGTGTTTTAACAGAGGACAGAAAATGTGACATCAAAATCCGAATGTGCATTGGAATAGCGAAAGATTTCTTCCACAATCTAAGCAAAGTATTAAGAAAACGAAAAAGTTGGTCAGAAACAAAAGAAGAGTGGCCAACTATAATATATCAGTTCTCTTATAAAGAGTGTTTCATTAAGACGGATCAAAGTCAGCAGTAAATAAATCGGTGTAATTATTGAACATGTTGATTTATTTATTAGATCATGTTATGTCATGGCAATTATATGTGAAAAATAATATCGCCCAAATGTCCGCCAAATCGGAAATAAAAAGAGAAAAAAAATCATTAGACGCTTAAACTTAATTCACATTGAAAGTTATTGGAACACCCATTATGATAGTGAATGGTGGATAATCTGTTCACAGATGAAGAAATAGGCTTCAGACAACACAAATGTAGTTCTCAAGAAGCATGCTGAGAATGCCATGAACTGAGTAAAAAGTTTTAAGGAAAATGAAGAGAAAAAGGACGCTTTACTTAAAATCGAAAACTCTCTCTCTCTCTCACACACACATACACACACACATATATATATATATATATATATATATATATATATATATATATATATCGTCTTAGATTCTAGAAATTTAATGCCTACTTAATTTCGTATCCAAATATAAACAAATCAATTTCTAAAGAAGCAATAATTTTTTAAATTTATTAATCCGATTTAAATATCACGATAATTTTTGTGTGTGGTTTCACATATTTTAGTGGCCGTTCCGTTTATTTATTAAATGGTATACTTATTCATCTACTTTTAATCCGACATGTTTGTATTGCTTCAAACGTTATTTTAACTGTAGTTTCTCCACCCTAGGGGGACACAAGTCCCATCCGTGCCACATGATACATCTTCATTACTTAGATTTCTCGAATACGCAGGCCAACAGACATAATAGACACCGCTTAATAAATAAAAATGGGGCGACTATTTCAGATGAAAAGTGCTCACTAAAATAACGTTTGAAGTAATAAATTGACCAAATACGAGGCCCCATAACTACTAAAAGTAGAAGTTTATGATGAATAAAAGAGGAGACGGTATGAAGTAAAGATTATGAAAATAAGAAGATTGTCATGTTTCTGGAAAGTACCCACGCGGGGGTCTGTTCCGCACAGTAGCTGTTCTTGGGGAAAATGCTATCTGAGCGGAATTTTCTCCTTACTTTTGGAATACGGTAGGAATGAGAATGATTCGACTCCGCGGAAGTAGCAAGGCATGTCCCCGGTTTGAAAGTAAACGCTACTACTGTCAGTCGACGTATAGCTAATATATAAAAGTTTTTCTTTCTTATTCATTTCAATGACGCACTGCTGTATCGCTAGATAAATTGTCTTAAACATTCAATGATTATACACTGATTATTTGATATGAACAGACTAAGGTTGATAGGTAGATATTCTGTATGAAAATGGAATTGTTTATTTTCTCGACAGTAGTACTTAACTTTCTCGCTATGTTTTTATTTTCCCGCATTTTTTTATGCATTTTCGTTGATCTCCTTGGGATTTTTTGTGCTCCGATCCCACATTTAATCTAAGTCTTTTCACTTCTTGGATTGCTTTGTCCCCATCCCCTGTAGCCTTGCTATGCGCGATAACCCTTTGCCCTCTTTACAGCAGCGGAGCCCCTTTTTCATAGAGGCGATGCGGCAGAAATATTCATTCGCCGTACAAAGGCCACAATGATGAAATAAGTTACGCTCAACATCCTCAGAGGCACTCTACTTACACCCATCGGACAGACTTACTTCATATATATTTATATCTCCGCTTCCACGTCTGCTTCAACTGTTACCGCCATTTTTCCAGCGTTTTTTTTTTTTTTTTTTGGTTTGTTTTTTTTTATTCGTTTATATATATATATATTTTTATTTTCTTCTCTCAAGAACTCTTTTTAGATAATGGTAGTTTTGTCGTTTTCTGCAATTGTCGATACTGTTGGTTATTCGTTCACAATACAACCAGATACGAGATTGACATCTCGGCTAAAGGCACGGAAGGTCAGGGAGGTCACGGATTACCGAATCAGTCCCGGATCTGCCATGAATCACTCCCAGAGGGCGCCTATGTATCCTTTTTCTACGCTCGTTCGCCCATTCAACCAGCCATTCACCTATTCATTGACTTACACAGCCATGCACACACAGTTATACTTGAATGTATACGCGCATCGATAGAGCCTCATATATATATATATATATATATATATATATATAATAGTGAGAGGGGACAGACAGAAAAACATGTCTACGCTACGCACATATAACAGGAAGAAAATAAGAGAGAAGAAAAAAAACAGTCCAGACGACTTACAAATCTCTACTGGGATCAAATGCCAAGTCCTGAAACAAGAGCTGAACAAATCGATAGACCCGGAGTAACATAAAAAAAATGCAAGAATCGGAAAAAGGAAGTAGAAATGGAAGCTAGGGAGGAAGGGAAGGAATAAAAAAAAAGAGAAAACGAAAAGTATGTGCTAACAATGTATTGGCTGTAAATTGAAGTCTCTTAGGGGGCTTTAAAAAGACCGATCTGATCTCAAAGATGGATTTTCTTATGTTGAAATAGTACGAGCCCCGCGGCGTTCCAAGACATTGTTCAATATCCCAGTAGAGTCTTGAGGCTATGAAAAGAGTAAAATATACAAAATACCCACACCCATACACACACACAAAAGCAAGCAAAGACAAATAATAAATCATAAATAAAAACAAAATCTATCTCCACTGACCTTGAGCTCAATGTGTCTATAAAGGTCAGTTCTAATTCAATGTTTTCCTTCTAAACTGATCCTTCCTCAGGGACTTTTGCCGCGGAAAAGTGATCTTGCATTAGTGTCAGTTCAATGTTATTTTTTCCTCTTTCCTTTGTACTTTTTTTTACTTTATTATTTTGTTTCTTCTTTGCGCTGACAGCGATCGAACCGGAAGGCTTTTTAGATAAAACGATGCCAGTCTGGATAATCCAGACCCCATATTTTCAACATAGATAAGTGTTTCAACTGACTTTGCGGTATGAAATGGAGCAATGATTATTTGTTATTTTCTTTTTATTTATTTTTTTACTTGTTCTTTTGTTTGTTTATATATTTATTTTGCCGGTGTTGCGTTGACTTCCTCAGAATCTATAGGAACCTTCCTTCCAACAGATGTAGTTCTTTATTCTAACAGCACTTGTGGGTATATCTGGGTATGAACAAGAAGTGGGAGCTCATACAGGACTTTAACTTTCTAGGCCAAATGCTTGGTGTGTATGATTTTTACATTTCCCAATTAAAAAGAAAAAAAAGTGACATTTTTATTAGCTATTACTGATGTTAAAATAT